AGTGCATGAGCACCACTCTCGAGTGCATGAGCACCACCCAAAACTAAAACAACCTCAAGAGTGCAGGAGACTCTTAATCTCGGGGTCGTGGGTTCGAGCCCCACGTTGGGCGCCACTTTGTAATGACGCAAAAATAAAAGAAAAGAATTTAAAATAATAAAAATAAAACTCTAGAATGAGTAATAATTTGACTAAAATAATTAAGTTAATATAACTATTATATAACTAAGGCTCCTGCCAATAGTTATATATTACTAGATATAAATATTAAAATTGCGCTATTACCTTCCACTTGATCGTTCTCGAATCACGACCTCGAGAACCCTCCGACGATCAGGAGGAAGGTAATAGCGCAATTTTAATATTTATATCTAGTAATATATAACTATTGGCAGGAGCCTTAGTTATATAATAGTTATATTAACTTAATTATTTTAGTCAAATTATTACTCATTCTAGAGTTTTATTTTTATTATTTTAAATTCTTTTCTTTTATTTTTGCGTCATTACAGAAGTTTTCCCCCCACCCACAGGTACGTGTTTCAAGCAAAAGTCGTCGATTTCCAACGTCGATTTATTGTTTGGCGCAGATCTCGTGGGGCTACCGGAAACGTTATTGCGTGTATTCGAGTATGCATAGTAGTTGTCAGTGGCGTTTCCAGGGAGGTTAGGGGTTATGTCCTTCACAATCGACCCATAAATTCTATTATTTGTGTCATTGACACTACCCCCGCAATTTTTTTAAATGTATTATTACTTATGACATCTTTCCCCTTTATTGGAATTTCCTGGGCATGCAATTGATAGTTGTAGTAAATAATTTTGATGGTCACTTGGATAGCACATGTTTTTGTGAATACGACTCAAAAACTCAATGTCAAATCAATTTTTCAGAGCTCTGTTGGTATATATATATATATTTTAATAATAATAAAATTAATTTGCGATGATTGCATGTGAATACGCCAATTATTTTTCAGTGGCTTCGAGTTTTACTCATTCTTTCCTAAATAATTTTAAGATCGTGGACGACAATTGTTTGATGTTTATTCTTGAATACCAAACACGCTATGAATTATGTACCAAACAGTATTCAATGTTATAAGATCTTTTGATTTTTATTTTTCAGTATTTTTTTGTTACTGAAGTAGAATTTTTTTTCATTTTAACCAATTTTCGATGAGTAAAAATATAATATCACATACAATTAACAGTTTTATATTGTATACATAAAAACTCAATGATTAATGGAGGCATTACTATATTCATTTTTAAGTGTCTTTTATGTTTCAGTTCGTATATAAATCAAATACTGTTTAGGACGAGAAACACCCTACTTAAAAAAATACTTAATGGAATAAACAGTTTTTTTTTAAATTTTCAATAACAATAAATAAACATTATAGTAATTGGAAAATTTGTAATATTCAAAATGTCTACATATCAAAATTATTTAAGAAAAATGCAATACAGTGAAAGCTAATTTCAAAACAAGGTTAGTTATAATGTAAAAAAATATGAATTTATTTATATAAATTGTTATATAAAACTGAGTTATTTTTTCTAATTATTAGTTATGATATAAAAAATTATTTTAAATTGCATTGTTGAACAAATAATTCTTTTCAGTACGATTTTGAAATTCTATTAAACACTTATTAAAATGAAAATTGTCTAGAATTATTTGAATGGTGTTTACAAGATGAAAGAAATCAAGTTCTATTTAATAATTGTAGCCGAATCATTTTCATTAAGTTATACTTTGAGATATTAGAAGACGGCATTAATAACAAGTAATTTGAAACATGTGTTTATTTTTGGATCGTTAAACATTGTATTATATATCAGTAGGTAGTACTCTTAAAAATTATTTATATATTTTTTTAATAATGTGATGATGATTTCTTTTAGTGGGATATTTCACAAATAAAATTATAATACAAACATACAGTATGCATTGAAATTCTAAGTTAATAAATTATGTTAAACAATAATTTATGTGTGTGTTTTATTTTTGTTTTTACAACATATACTAAGGGTTTGTTTATAAAGTGTAACTTTAATAATTAATAAATAATTTTTTGGTATTTTATTGAGTAAAAATGTATAAAACACGTACTGAAAACATCAGAATCGTGCACATCAATACAATTTAAATTTCTTTAAATTTTTTAAAATTATACTCGTATCTTTGAATTTGCTGTTCATAAGTATTAATTCACAAATATCATTATATATTTTTGTTTGCAATTAATGATTTAATTGATTCAATCATGGGGTACCGAGTTGACATTATTTTGTAATAATATTTTGATGATGTGATTACCATTTTGTAAGACATCTTATCACTGATGTACCGATATTGCCTATACATTGCGCCGGTATAAAGATAGTTTAAAAATTTTAAATTTCCTTACACAAATTAACATTGATTTGTAAACAATTTTTGACTAACATGTATTCATAATTTAAAACTATTGTAACATTTGAAATTTAATTATTAATAAAAGTAACTCACATAATGTGCAAAAGGCTAATAAACCTTAGATGTTGAAGCCTAATTTTTCTTTCAATATAAAAAAAAAGAAAGTTTTCATAAAATACTATCAAGAATAATAAGATAATTTTTTTTTGAAAACCTTATACACGCTTGTTAAGCGTTGTATGTTTGAGCGAAACTCATAACTTGTTTAGTGTAAGACCTAGTCACATTAGAAATTAAAGAATCCCAATAAACTATAAACAACAAATATTTTTCTCGCTTATCCTAACATTTATTATTTAAAAGAAATAATAACTCAAATAGTTTTTGGGCCGAAGAAAAAATATTAAATAAGATTTGTGTGCGGAGTTTGACACTTTAAGTGCTTCGTTGTTTGTAAAATTTTTTTATAGCATTCGTAAACTTTTGAGTAAGTTACAATGATGTTATTTATTTGTTCATAATATATGAGTAATTAAGCGCTAGCGGTATAATCTAAAATTTGAACTTAAGGAAACCTAACATCTGTACCTTATAACTTATGATTTATTAGGTCTGAATTATTTCCGTTCGATTTCGTTGGGAACAAAAAACGCATTTGTTAAGTCAAACACTTCAAATACAGCTGAGGGATCGTGGTTATGTAAATATACTATACATATATATATATATATATATATATACATAATATTTAGGCTGTATGAGTTGGACGTACAGTCGAACCGTTCGTGAGTATTATTATAATGGCCATTGTGGTAAAGGGATTTCGAGAGAACAACAGACTGCTTAGATTTGAATAAAATCTAAACCGAATAAGGTCGGGTCGCCTGCTCGTGGCAGCTGATATTAAAATTAGATAATTTTTGTTTTGTGCCGAGAGGTATACACCGGCTATAATAAACAATATCTGTATAAACTGCAACAGTGAATGATGATAATATAACAAATAGTAATCTAATAATAATCGATTACGACAATCGCATCATCGCCATCGTATTAATATCCGTATATCGATATGCTGTTGCGTACCGTTCAAGACGTGCAGGTACGCGCTGGCCGAGTCTAAGTTTGACGGCTGACACGTGTAGTTGCCCGAGTCGTGCAACACCGCGTTGTTGATAGTCAAAGTGGCCACCATCGTGTTGGCGTCAATTCGTTCGCTGCTGATAACCTTGGCGCCCTTGCCGTAGTCCAGCACCCGCTTGTTGTTCTGGTACCAGAATATGTAGTCCGGGTCCCGGACGCTCTGCCGAATCACGCACTTCAGGTTCACCGAGCTGCCCTCCATCACGTGGATATCTGACTCACCCATTATCTCGATCTTTGGCACTGTCGGGCAAAACGGGTATTTGTAAATATCGAATCGCAGTTTACGTTTTAATTATTTACGGGACACATATTAGAGTTGTCGGTTTTCAAACCCTTTCAGACTCAGATTTAGAGATAGAGATAGTAATGAATTTTAGTAAATCGATTTTTACCTTGGATTAATTTAGAAAGATTTTTGGAATAATCCGACCATAATAGTTTATGTTTTTGGCTTTTAACATTTTCATTTATCGGAAAGAATATGATTGATATCAAAATTTTTATTTTTTATACCGTATAAATGAAATTGCGTATGTTTTGATTTGGGATATACTGTTCTATGATTTAAATTGATTATAGAAGATAACAAAAAGCAAAATAAAGTAATATTTCTCTTAGGAAGGATATAGTATCTAAAAGTCATTCAATAAATTTAGTGTTATAAACATTTTTTTTTTATCCACATAATATAAATGATACATATATACATTAAGTTCGCATTTGTTCGTATCACAGGAATAATATTGAAAATGCGTTTCTGTATATACACAGTGTACCTATAACGTGGAATCTCTTACGGTAATTTTAATTGGACAAAAATTAATTTTGAACATAGTCGGATACAACTTATTATACTCTGGCAAGTGACAAAATGTAACCCGACGAAAATTTTAAAACTGAGGTTGCTCTCCTCAACGTGGCACCGCCATCGCCAAGCGAAACCGGTCGCGATTGCAGGGTGTCAAGTGAAAATGCGCAGAATTGACATGTTCTCTCACTGAACAGAGTATAAGTAATATTTATCACCATATGCATTAACACATACATTTCTAAATGCATTTATTTTAAATACTAATGTATCAAATTTTCTTTTAAACAAACAAATAAATAAATAGTTTTTGAATATAATATTTTTGTGTAACTCCTAATAGAAAATGAGTATAAATTTGTATAATTGTAATTATTTATTAAAAGTATAATAATTAAACCTTATTATAAAAGTATGCTATTGTCTTTTAATTAATTCGATCAAATTATATTATATAAATTATTAACGAATATAATTTTGAAATGTAATTAAAATAATCAATTACTGATATTGTATACGAGTAATTCAGCTAGTATAATATAATATAAAAGTCAAAATATTGTACTTTTTTTCATAGTTTTACTTGAAACTTACCAACGACATTGAGCTGAACCAAATGGCTCATTTTAGGTGATGTATTTATTTGACATTCGTAAATGCCAGCATCTCTGGGCTGCACATATTTTATCTGCAACGTCCACGTACACGTAGGCTCAACCAGAAATATTCGGAACCTATCGTCGGCGATGAACAACAGCCAATCGATAGTGAGTATGTGTGAATCCCGCCGCCGTATCCATGACACCTGCGATACATAAGCCCACATAGATTTATATTAAACTAAAGTAAACTCAATAAAATAAATTATATAAAAATAAAAAAGTGAAATTATTATGATTTTCCATATAATTCAGGTTTATGTTTTTAATTAATAAAATATCGAGAGATCGGAATAAACTTGGCATGCTCGAGAGAGGCGGTTGTTTGGGGTAACGAAATGTGAAATTAAAACTTGGGTATAGGTAAAGATAAAAAGTTACTCTGGCGGGGTGCCACTGCAGTATAAAACAGAAATGTGTAGGAAAAAAAATAATTTATTAATATGACAAAAAAACCTAAATATGCTTTTAAATTAATTTGATGGTACTTAAGTGAATCGTTAGTATTGTATTTAGTTATGATAATTTAACAGTTTCATTTATTTTATATATTTAATGAAATGCAAAAGAAAAGATGGAGCTGATATATTTTATTTATAATAAGATTCACTAATATTTGTTTATTTTGTAATAAAACGGGGCCTAAGTACAGAAAAAATAAGTATATATAAGGTGATCAATTTAACGTAAGACATTCATTATTTTGAAAAGTTGTAACTTTTTAATTTTTTTTTTTTTTGGAAATGTTGAAATTTAATGAAATCTACAAATAATTAATATTCCTAAAATTTTTACATTATTTTTTATATGATAAACATTAATCGAATTTGAATTTTTAAATGATAACACCTATATTTTAATACCAATATATTTGTATAACAAAACTATTTTTTTTTAAGAACTTYTACATTTGATTTTTTTATTTCTGTTCAATGGATTTTGAGATATAGCAAATTTAAAATACGATATACGAGAAGCTTTTGGAGTTTGATTAAACTTGTTCTTATTCATTTTTTATTCATCATACAAATCAATAATTTTTGAATCAGAATAAATGAAAAAATATAATAAAAGTAAATAAACACTTAGATTAGATAGTATTTATTAGATCTTAGTATTTATAGATGGTTTCTATTAGTGATAGTTGCTATTAGTGATGGTTGCTATTAATGATGGTTGTTATTAGTGATGGTTTCTATTAGTGATGGTTGCTATTAGTGATGGCTGTTATTAGTGTGGAAGAAATAAATTATTGTCTCTAAATTTGTTATTATTTGTTTCTATGGCACGTGCGTCTACGGAATTACAAGTTTTTATTGATATTTTGTATTTTTTGTTATTGTTGTTATAATAATGCCATTTCTATACAGTTATGCCTCCAAAAAAAAGATCGATTGTTGGTTCTACGCCTCAAGCATGAAAGAAAATGGCAATACAAGCTTCAGAAACAATCGAGCAAAGAGATGCAAAATTGGGAACTACCAGAGAACGTCAAGCCTAAAAATTCCGTTCATCTGAAGCAACTGAGCAACGAGATAGAAGATTAGAAATGGATATAAAATATATGAGTGTACACCTACAAAATGATGCATCAGCTGATTTTGCAAAACAATTGCTAGAAATGGGAAGTTGTAAACTAGCTATTGATGAATCAACATAATTCACCACATTCCTAATTAATTTCTGTAAAATATTAGCAACAACTAATGAGTTAATTGACAAAATTTTCCTAAATCTACCACAAAATTACGGAAATAACCAGTGGTTAATTGCAACAACTATATTGGTATAAATACCAAAACCAATATAACCATTCTAAACGGAATTTCAGGCGACACTATAACGTACCAGTCCATCGATACCGTAATAAATAAATATGAAGTTGTCAATTATTATCCAACTGAATTCTTAAATTCACTCGATTCGTCAGATATGCCACCGCATGTTCTAGTATTGAAATTTGGCGTGCCCATCATTATGTTACGAAACATCAATCCACCATGACTTTGAAACGGTACCCTAGGCTTTMAGTGAAAAAATTAATKAACAACATTATCGAAGCTAAAATTTTAATCGGAAAGTTTAAAGGTGAAGATGTCTGTTGTCACGCATCCGAATGATTCCAACATATATGTCTTTTGAATTCAAATTTTGCAGTTTTCGATACGACTAGTCTTTGCAATGACCATTAACAAAGCACAATGACAACCGCTACAAGTGTGTGTACTGAATTTAAAAAATCCATGTTTCTCACATGGACAGCTGTATGCAGTATATTCACGCGTCGAAAAACCTAGTGTACGCACTAGAAGGAATAATTAAAAATATTGTGTATCCAAATGCATTTCAATAAATATAATTTAATTGAATACTTGAATTGTTCGACTTTTATTGATAAAACCAATAAAATTTCACAATGATAAATTTAATTGAAAATCGTTGTAAGATTATTACTTAGTATATTTTAACCATCATCTATCTACATATATGTATAAAAACAAATACTACAAGCATGATCACAAGTAACGAACTTAACACACAGTTTGAGACATTTATGAGGTAGGCTTTTTAACGGGCTACGAAGTGCATGGGTTCAGATAGTAATTTATATATTCCATACATTTTATATATAGGTTTCCATTTAAAAATCAAAAGTTGATAATGGTTTCACCAATAAAAATAATTTTTATTATACACGATTATTGTATTATTTTATTGCATTATACAATATATGCAATATTCAACAACCAGTACATATCGATTAGATATTATTTGGTCCATTAAAGTGGCTCTTAACGGCCATTATGTGCTAATTGCATAAGTGGAGTGTTAATTTGATATTTCGCAAGATTTACGACTTAATGCAGTTTAAGTACAATTGGCCATATTTGGCAAGTTATTTGACATGAAATTACATTAAATAATTCCATTACCGTTTAGACGTTATGAAATTCTATTAGAATTGGAAACAATGATTTTATCCATTTATATCATCGTCATATTTGTATCGAAACAGTTGCATACAATTTAAACTTGAAGTTAAAAATATAAGATCGAGTAATTTTGTGTTAGGTAATTGATGGGTTTGTGAAACGAACAACAGCATAATATTGTGTTGAAAAAATATAATAGCAATATCAATGGCCACATAAGAATTTTATAGAAAAATTTTTATGTATTTTAATTATTACTAAACTTGAAATATGTCATTCCGTAAAATGTTTTTAAAAAATAACATACTAAAATATCATTGTTTATATACGTCATCCTGTAGGTTAGGACTTGCAGAACATTGGTATTCTTTTTGGGTGCAGAGAGTGAATTGTGCGATTTTTTTATTGGATAAAAACGAATTGGAATTGGATAGAAACTCAAATATTCGTTATTCAGTTTGAAAATTTGCTACGTGAATTTATTTAAAAAAAAAACTTAATATCGTTTTTCCTCAAAACGAGCGTGTACTGCTGGCTGCATTATAGCTGTGTATGACATTATATGTCACGTACATTTTATTCCGACGCGTTTGGGCATTTTTAGTAAATTTTCACGATATGTTTTTCTTAAGGAGTGACAGCGGCGACTTATGGTAGCAACTGTGAGTTAATGGATTTTCGGCGAGGGGGCCGTGATTGGGTAGTGGTGACGGGGAAAGAAATAACAATAAAGTATAAAGGTGGGTTATTTTTTTTACGCCGTGCTTTTCACGACAATAACATGAGTTTAAATGGGGTGCGTTACTGTTCGGAAAACTTAACGGTCCCCTGGAATCATTTTTATATGTCCCTGTTCATCGTCACCCTTTCACCATGCCGATTGCCAATCGCCGACTGCACCTCGCCGTCTAGACGTCTTAAACCCTCCGCCCACAAACATATAGAGAGACATAATATATATACTATATTGTAGAAGCACATATTTTTAAACCGTCAATTCGCTCACATTGCTGGCTGGTTATTTGCGTTGCAACAGCAGAGGAAAAGGTAATTTTATTTAGTGCCCCGTGGCCAGGGGAACGTTGATTAAATAACTATCGTGTAAAAACCACCCCACCGGCGAAGAGGCTTGAGATTGCGCTTGAGACAATATATATATATTATACACACATTATTTATAACATGCTAGGTCAGAGAGAGATGAAGGGAAATGGGGAAAAAAATAGAAACTTTTCACTCGTCTTTGTCGCCCAGTTATTTATTTTATTATTTTCTCCTATTCGTTTCCCCTTGCCGTATCTTCATTGTAGTAATKTAGTGCAATCTCATGTTTGTGCGGCGAACGCGTGGCAAAGCTCCGACGTGTGTTTTTAAGATTCCACCCGAAGCCCGCGGCGACAGACCGGTCATAAATAGCAAATTGCCTGGTATTCTTCGAATTTTCCTCGTGCTGTCGTCGTTCCAATAAAACCATATTACGTGGGCACAATTACGTTTACAATCACCATCGATTATCACCCGTTAATGATCATGTAAATAGAAACCAGTGTAGCGTCCCAGCATACAGGAGGACGAACGACTGGTGTTGAGGTAGRTGGATTGAGRGAAATAAGTATAACAACTTGATTTGTGATTAATTATTATAATTTATTTGATTGCGATGTGAATGAAACACTATTATTGAACAAGAATGATTTAATTGAAAAATTAATTTATTTGGACAATAACAAATTTATTTAGACCTAAGTCCAAATGATTAATTCGGAATGATGTCTGGCGTGAAGGTGCTTGCACTGACTCTGGTGGCTCACGTCTGATTCGAGTCTAATCGGGGCTCTCCTATATAGCCTACTCTCTGCGTTTCCTCTCCTATCGATAGGATAAGTATGTGTCCATGGTCGAGTCGCGCAAATGCGTCCTCGCGTATCATTAGGATATCGCAGCATCCCACGTTCGTGCGGCCGTTCGTTTCACATCCTGTTATTCGCGAGTTCGTGACACTCGTAATCTCCATGAACCGATGCCCATAGTAGGTTAAAACAATTAACGATCTCCATGTGTACCTGCCAATACTACAAATTCRTACTTAACCGACGACCCTATTAGGTGGTATGGTAACTAACACATAGTTAATCTCCATTGTTACGATAATTAGGAAAAGTCTTTTAGTGTGGCCTTCTACTCAGCTATTGGGGTCTTACACAACGTAATCGGTTGGCGAAATCATACGCCTCAGGGACACTTATACGCACATCTACGYATACGCGGATTTAGGAGTCTTAGCGGGACGTCAGTACATAGCACCAGCAGTGGTTCTGTTATCATGCTATTTTGGAGTAGGCAAGAATTTAGTGCCTTTTAAGTTCTAGACTAGTCTTTTACATTTCTTCCCTCAAAATCTGGAAAAAGACAATCACTATTTATCGCGGTAACAATATTATCACATAATTTACCATGATGCATGGATTAATAATTGTTTTCTCGTAGTGGCTGCTACGTACATACTCAATGTGTTCCAAAAAGTTAGGTTAACAATTATCGGTCATGCTATTTTTGAGCCACGACAAGTGGTTGAGGCGAGAGTAATACGCAGTCTTTCACATAGAAAGTCGTATGTGGTATTTGTATTCATTTGTATGCTTTTGTAGTTCTGTCTATATAATTTATGTTCAAACCACGAGACTACGGTGTCAGTTTCCTTTAAGTGGTCGCCGATATGGAACAACTAAATTTATAAAATACATCTTACTCGGGAACATCACGTCATCGCATTCGTTAACGAAAAGTGCACCTACATCATAGTCCTTTCCATTTATTCATTTATTTTGCTAGTTATAAAAATACGATTGAACAATAATGTATAGTAAAAATAATTGAAACCTCGTTGGTGTTTTAAAATCATCTCGACGGGATCAGCGAGTAATCTTCAAGCTCATAGAGTTTAGAAAATGTAGAAAAAAAATATTAATATTACAATATTTACTATTTATAATTTATTGCTTTATTGATCATTCGATATATTATATATGTGTTTAGAAGGAGAAGACATTCGTCATGTGATTTTTATGGCAAAGAAATTGTATCAAAATTCCTGATCGTTGTCGTTGTCGTTAAATACTCTAAAAAACATAACATTAAACGAATTGGTTCCAAAAATCATAATAGGACCTAATGGACCTATGTATATTAATATTTTAATTTAGTGCGCATTGTGATTTTAATGAATGTCACTTAAACGTTACTCAACAGTAGAATACTTCATAAAATATTTGTGATTTTTACATCTCATCGTTTTTTATGCAAGTTGTTATTTCAAAAATAAATATAAAAATACGAGAATCAAATGAATCTATAATGATATAAAGTACTGGTTTTTTTGCAGTCATTAAATAAAAATCCATGGTTGTAAATTTATCAACTTGATTAAAAATTAGAGTCACAAATAAATCGATTAGTTTGTTGATATAGGTATATATTATTATTTTAAGTCCGAACACCCAAAACTGCAAATTGTTATAGAATGATTATAAAAATAATATTAATATGAAATTAAAAAAAAAATCATTCAACAATTAAAAATTGAATTAAAAATTTCAAAACATCATGACGTAATAATTCGCCATGGTCATAAGTCAATAAAACCAATTTTTAAGACTATTTTCTTATTATACCTACTCATACCTCCTAAAGTAGGGTTATTCTGAATACCTTTCACAACAAGATATCTCAGGGATTAGAAGTAATGTGTTACTCGAAATAGTGCTAGAAGTTTCCACGAATTTAAGTCGCCAAAGTTATATTTTTCTAGAAACRTACCGGTGTTGTTTAATATAAAAACCGGCAAATCGTTATGTAAATATATAATTATTATTAGGGCTAGGATTTATATGCATTTGCATGTTTTTTTCCTTTAGTCCAAATTGATTGGTTGTCAGATTTGYCTACGATTTGGCTTATTCTCATTTAAATAGGACCAATTTTTTTTGTATATTTTTGTATATTTTGGACATAATGCATATAATTGCATATTCATAGATTTTTTTA